TCGAGACCCGCCTGGGCAACTTGGCAAGACCTCATCTCTACAATAAATCAAAATGAGCCATGTGTGGTAGCGCACGTCTGTAGTTTCAGCTACCTGGAAGGCTGTGGCAGAAGGATCGCCAGAGCCCAGCATGTCAAGGCTGCGGTGGCCGGGAGCGGCCACCGCACTGCAGTCTGGGTGACAGAGTGAAACTCCAACTCAAAAAAAAAAAAAGTTTATATTTATTTATCTTTTGACTCAAAAATTGTATTTCCATGAATACACAAGGCACATGTTTATCAACACTATGCATAGTGAAAAATCAGAAACAGAAAAGTAAATACATTATGGTTGAACCATTCTAAGCACCATTAAAAAAAAAATCCTATATGCACTGACATGAAAAGAATTCCAAGATTAACAGAAGAGTGCAAAAAAGCAAGATGCTGAAAAATATCCATGGGATTGGTCCCATTCATTGGATGGAGGAGGGAGTGTATATGTACACAAGAGCCTGCTTCTAGGAGCTCTTATTGGTCAAATTTGGACAACTTAACTTAAGCATCAGAAAAAGAAATCAGATAATAGATTATAACATATGAGCTCACTGAAAAGGGAAAAAAGGGAAGAGAATTTCTTTACAAAGTAAATGCTACCTAATGAATGAGTAATTTATCATCCAGTCTGTTGTGCAAAGATATGGAAGGACACACTTGTGACTCCTGAAAACCACTACTCAATGGATCGATCATGTCTCAGTATATATTCCATCTCTTTATTTGTTTTTTTCATGCCATTTGAATGAAAAACTTCAAGGAAACTTCCTTTTTTGAAAAATCTGCTCTTGCCTAAGTTTGTCCTGTATAATCACCAGCAATCTCTTTATGTCCCCTGAGAGAGGACATCCGAGCGATTTGCTAGATTTCCCATATGCCCTCAGTGGGGGCATCTGAGTACAAAGGGTTAAATATACTTGAGACATATTTAGAACTCAACATTCATGAGGTCTTAATTTGGTCACCCGTTAGTGATACCTATTTTGGCAATATATTGTCTCCTACCTAAGAAACACAAATGAAACTCACAACTGTTCAGCAGATTAACTGAAAAGCTAAAGCCGTTGGCCAGGCACACTTGTCCCTGCATTGCCCTGAGAGTGCGCATCTCTGGCCCCAGGTACCTTCCGTGTGGGCTCTGGTCCTCACAACCACAGCATCAGCAAGGAAAGTTGACAAGGCAGAAAGATGCAGAACACACCATGCAGCACAAGATGTAGGTAGCATGGTCCTTCTACCTACCTAAACCCTACCCTAGGTGTGTCAACTTGTCCTCTCTCCCTTCCCTTGCTTCTTTCTACATGTTTTATACTATTTAATGAACCATGTCATATGAACAATTTGTCAATGAACCTTAGGATAGCTTGCCTAGCAGTGTACTTATTATTTGACACAGCTACTTACTTTTTCCCTTTGCAACATTTTCCTCTGGGTCATCTACTCATGATCCTCCTCCTACCTCACCGGCCCTGTGTTCTCCATCTCCCATGAAGTACTAGAATGACTCTGTTATATACACTCACTCCCTAAACATCACTTTTAGTCTCACAGCTTTACATACATCTGCAGGCTAATAAGTCCCAAAATCCATATTTCTAGTCCTAATATCTTACCTAAAGTGCTCACAGTTTAAAACCAAACTTTTACTCTCTACCATGAAACCTACTGCAATAGTCTCCTAAACCATCTCCTGGCTTCTCACCTAAGATCACCAGTCTACTCTCAGGGAGATGGAACTTCAGTCAAAGCGGATATGAAACCAAGAGAGGGTTTTTCCCATTTTATTCTATATGCTGTGTTAGTTATCTACTGCTGTAAACCAATTGTTCCAAAGCACAGCAGCTTACGCCACAAACACTATTATTTCACACAATTTCTAAGGGTTAAGAATCTGGGAACAGTTAGTTAGGTTGTCTGGCCTCTCATGAAGCTGCAGGTCAAAGTCAAAGCCTGGACTGCAGTCATATCAAGGTTTGACTGGGCCTGGAGTATTTGCTTCTGAGCTAGCTCAGTCTGACAACTACCCAGCAGTCAAAGTGATCCTTCCAAAATATAAATCAAACCATATTAATCCTCTACTCAAAACTCATGGATATGTCTTCTCTTACCTATCACAGTAAGATCAAAAATCATCCTATGACCTGTGAGGCCACATCTGGTATGCCCCTTCTCTATCCCTACCACCAATCAGCTTGCTCACCCAGTTCTAGTCACCAGCCTCAGTGCCATTACACAAATACTCCAAGCATGTTCCCTTGAGATGGGTGCTCACTGCTCCCTCCGCTGGGAGCACTATTTCCCCATGTATCTACATGACTTACTCCTTCACTTCTTTCAGGTCTAATATCACCGTATCAGAGGACTTTTATAAACACAAACTTCTGCCAACTCACTCACCACCCCCATCCACAGAATTCCCTACACTCCTCATCCTGCCTCATTTTTATTTAAGGTGACTAAAAGTGACTAAACAGACTTGACAAATAAACGCAATACATGATCCTGGATTTTATTTTGCTAATCCAGACCACCACCTGATAGAGTCTCACTCTGCAATGCAGTGACATGCTCAAGGTCACTTCAGTCTTGACCTGCTGGGCTCAGGGATCCTTCCACTTCAGTCTTCCAAGTAGCTGTAACTACAGGCATGTGCCACCACACCCAGTTAATTGTTTTATTTATTGTAGAGATGAGGTCTCGCCATGTTGCCCAGATTGGTCTCGAACCCGTGAGCTTAGGCAATCCTCTCACCTCCAATTCCCAACTGGGCGGCTCCACATGAGGGCAAGAGGGTTAGTGAAAGAAGCACAGACCTCACCAGTCCCTGTGACTCACAAGTCCAGCAAACTCCCAGACAGATCCGGGAGGAGAGCTGTAATACCAGAAAGGCAGCTAAGGCAGAGGTCAAGGAAATATTATTTTGTGGTAGGCATGGCTCTAATAAAAAGAAAAATATTAGGTAATAAAATAATAACTCTTTACCACAGAGAAACCAGAAAGATACACTCTCAACCAAGTGATCAAAATAAATAAATAACTACATATATAGAAAAATATTTTGCTGGGCATGGTGGCTCACACCTGTAATCCCAGCACATTGGGAGGTCAAGGCAAGAGGATCGCCTGAGTGCAGGGTTTCAAGACCAGTGTGGGCAATTTGGCAAGACCTTGCCTCTATACAAAAATCAAAAAATTAACTAGACGAAGTGGTGCATACTTGTGGTTCCAGCTACTTGGAAGGCTAAGGAAGAAGGATGGCCTAAGTCCAGCAAGTCAAGGCTGCAGGAGGCTGCGGTAGCAGTGAGCATGCCACTGTACTCCAGATTCTGACAAATAAATAAATAAATAAATAGATAAATAAGTAAAATATGCCCCCTAATATGCTGTACTGAGAATATAACTTTGTGGCATTCCTGCCAAAAGCATGTAACCCAAATCTAATTATGAGAAAAAAATATAAGAAAAACCTGCCATTAAGAACATTTTATTAAAAAAAAAAAGAAAACGGTCTATATTCTTCAAAAGTATTAATGGCATGGAACACAAAGACTCAAGGAATTAACTATTCCACACTATAGGAGACTAAACAGACATGACGAATGAATGCAATACATAATCCTGGATTTTATTTTGCTAGAAATCTCATCCTTGGAACAACTGGTAAAAATCTAAATACAGTCTATGTATCAGATAACAGCATCTACTGATGCTGATTTTCTGTCTCTGGTTATTTGGGAGTTTTTTCGCTGTTTTTTGAGACAGTGTCTTTCTCTATCGCTGAGGTTGGAGTGTAGTAATGAGATCATAGCGCACTACAGCCTCAAACTCCTGGGCTCAATCAATCCTCCCAACTCAACTTCCTGAGCAGCAAGGAATACAGGCACATACCAACACAGTCAGCTAATTATTTATTTTTTTGTAGTGATGGTATTTCACTACGTTGCCCAGGTGAGTCTCAAACTCCTGACCTCAAGCAATCCTTCTGCCTTGGGCTCTCAAAGCCTTGGGATAACAGCATGAGCCACCATGCCATGCTTCCTTACTTTGATAATGATGTGGTTATGTAAGAAGATGCCCTTGTTCTTAATACAGATGTGTCTACAGTTTTCTCTAATAGAGGTATGAAATAAAACATTATATGAGGAAGAAGATAAAAGAAATATAATGTTACCAACTGGGAAATTTGAGTGAAGGCTATAGGAAAATTCTTTGTATTATTCTTATAACTTTTCTGTAAGTGGGAAATAATATCAAAATGATTTTTTAAGTAAAAAATAATAGTACATAACAAAAAGTTTCCAAAATGATAATGGAGAAAAGAACATTTTGAATATATTAGAGTGGCTCCTGTTTCGGATTTTAAAAGATGATCTCTACAAATTCTTTCAAATTCAAAATTAAAAAGTATAACTACAGAAGAATAAACTGTAAAAAAATCACTGGATAGACTTAGAATTGAAGTTTTTTAAGAATACTTTCTATTAGACTAACATATTAAAGATTTTCCACTTCTGAATTTTATTTAAAAACTAGAAATATCATGAAAAAATAGCACTGACCTTTAAAGAAATACTGTGATTTCCACATAGTATTTCTATTTCAATGATTTTAAAATGTATTTTAAATAAGATATCTGAAAAAGAGCACCCATTGCGCTTTTTATGACTCAGCATATATTATTTCAATTGAAACACCATGAAATATTATAGAAAAACCTTAGAATAGTACAAATATAAAAGAACTTATTTATTTAAACACAGTATCAACCATTTCTAGAAGGAAAAAAAACAAAGCAAAATTACCTTCATGGACTGTAATGCCACAATTGTCACACTGAATTATTTCATCGGCATCCTCACTATTATCTCCAAGACAAACACAGCAAATCAGAATATGGTCCATTTTTTGAGAACTCCAGTTCTGACTCTTCTCAAGAATCAGCGAGTCCTAATATTAAAATATTAAGATATATCAGAAAATCACACACTTAAATTAAAAGGAAATTTTAATCACTAAAATTCTTACTTTAAATTATTTTAAAACATTTTATGCATTTCCAAATGTATGCTCCACTTTCCATTCCTTTATTAACTTCTAAGTACACTACATTTGAGAACTATAACTCTGTCAAAGAACCCTCTAAGCACCCTCTTACTTAATTTTTCACTTCTCTGCAAGTTCCATAGGCTCTCTCTTCTAGGTGTGAAAAAGTAGGCATGTAACTAACAACTCTTCATCTATTTTGCTCCTTACACTAGGAAAAAGGAAAAATTAATTCACAAGTAATTATTAATCCTACTGATGGGCTTTAAAAGTATAAGACATAGCCGGGCTCGGTGGCTCAGCCTGTAATCCCGCACCTTTGGGAGGCTGAGGTGAGTGGATTGCCTGAGCCTGCGGGTTCAAGACCCGCCTGGGCAGCGAGATCTCATCTCTACAATAAATCAAAAAATCAGCCGGGCATGGTAGCGCATGCCTGTAATTCCAGCTACTCGGAAGGCTGAGGTGGAAGGATCACTGGAGCCCAGCGGGTCGAGGCTACGGTGGCCGGGAGCGGCCACTGGACTCCAGTCTGGGCGACAGAGTGAGACTCCAACTCAAAAAAAAAGAAAAACAAACAAACAAACAAAAAAACATAAAAGTATAAGACATGGCACCCCCGTGATTAGTCCTAAAGACTTTTGTCTTAGAATACCGTATCTTAAAAAAAGATGATGGGCACTGTGGCTCACACGTGTAATCCTAGCACTTTGAGAGGCTGAGGCAGGAGAACTGCTTGAGCCCAAGAGTTCAAGACCAGCCTGGGCAACATAGTGAGACCTTGTCTCTACAAAAAATTAGCTGGGTATGGTGGTGTGTGTCTGTAGACCCAGATACTAGAGGTAGAGCTGAGGCAGGAGAATTACTTGAATCCAGGAGGTTGAGGCTATGGTGAGTCTTCACCATGCCAGCCTGGGTGACAGAGTGAGATCTCCAACCAAAAAAAATCATATTAACTAGGAAACAACCTAGCAAGCAATCAGAATTTGAAAATTAAGAGGCTACTTGTGTTTATGGACTCTGCCAACATTATTCTGGTGGAATTACAACTAATCAGCCCTGGTGGTGGCTCGATCCTGTTATCCAACACTTTGGGAGGCCAAGAAGTTCAGGATCAATCTGGGGAGCATAGTAAGAACCTGTCTCTATAGAAAATTAAAAAATTAGCCAGACATTGTGGCATGCATCTGCAGTCCCAGCTACTGGAAGGCTGAGGTGAGAGGATTGCTTAAACCCAGAAGGTGGGAGTTACAGTGAGCTATGATCACACCACTGCACTACAGACTAGAGGGCAGAGCAAGATCCAATCTCAAATTTTTTTAAAAAAAGGTTTATTCATACGGGAAACAAGTAAATTTCTAAAGTAAATTGCTCAGAAAAACAATATACCTCTAAACTATATCTCCACCAATTTCTCTCCACACCCATCATTTAGAGACAGAGAAAACAAAACTAACTGGTATTTCTGACCCTCTAATACCCATGATTTGAGACTCTCAATAGAAATATAATGCAAAAGGAGAAATGGAGGAAACTAGAGTCCCATAATATTCCCCTAGCCAAATTGCTGGCAGACAGTGTTTCAATGGGAAAATCTAAATAACATATCCTCTTTAAAAAAAGTATGATCTCAGTTTTAATAGATTAAACACAGGTTTAAGCACACTTACGATCAATAAAAAGTCTAATTTATCAGCAATTTTTGTTAACATATTTCTAAAGCTGCATATCCTCTTTCAAGTTTTTAGAAAAAAGTTAAGCTAAAATTTTTAACATAAAATTTCAAGCTGGGCTCGGTGGCTCAGCCTGTAATCCCGCGCTTTTGGGAGGCTGAGGTGAGTGGACTGCCTGAGCCTGCGGGTTCGAGACCCGCCTGGGCAACGAGACCTCATCTCTACAATAAAATCAAAAAATTAGCCGGGCGTGGTAGCGCACGCCTGTAATTCCAGCTACTCAGAAGGCTGAGGCGGAAAGATCGCCGGAGCCCAGCAGGTCGAGGCTGCGGTGGCCGGGAGCGGCCACTGCACTCCAGTCTGGGTGACAGAGTGAGACTCCAACTCAAAAAAAAAAAAAAAAAATTTCAAAACCATGATTTTACATAAAAAATGAAATCAGGAAAGTAGATTTTGAATGTCAAATGTGTACCATCTAGAAAATAACTTTTGCTGGGTGCAGTGGCTCATGTCTGTAATCCCACCACTCTGGAAGGCAGAGGCGAGAAGGCTGCCTGAGCCCAGGGAGGGGTTCAAGACCAACTTCGGCAACTTGACGAGACTTTGTCTCCACAACAAGTCAAAAAATTAGCTGGGCATGGTGGCGCACTCTGTAGCTCCAGCTACTTGGAAGGCTGCGGCAGAAGGATCGCCGGAGCACAGCAGGTTGAAGCTGTGGTAGCCTTGAGCGTGCCACTGCACTCCACTATAGGCAACATAGTAAGACTCCAGCTCAAAAAAGAAAAGAACTTTAATATTACAAAACAATTTAATGTTAATTTAATATAATTATAAGAATAAACAGGACACTACACAAAAAAATCAACCATTACAGTAAACTATTTCATTTTATTCCTTCCCAATGTTCTCCATGGGCACTAAAATATGTTTAGTGTTTATTTATATATGTATTCCACGTGTGACTGTAAATGTACAATGGGATAAATTTTACCTAAGTTTTACGTGTAACAGAAGCAAACTTTAGCACACTGCATGTAAAATCAGAATTAAAAGAATCCTTTTGCCCTGAAGATGTGAAAAAATGAGAATACCAAAAAGTTTAACCAATAAATCTTTCTCTAAGTTTTTAAAAAAGATTAAATTTTCAAGAAAGTCAATATTTATACATGGTTACAAAACTGATTTTGTGTAGGACTTTGAGTAATTTGTTTCATTTTGAAATGTGTCCCAAACAGACGTATATAAATCTTGGCAAAATTTTTACATTTTCATTAGCAAAAATCAGGTGACCACTGCCATTTCTTAACAAGATGAAACATCTAATATATTTAACAAAGGCTTTTATGAAAAAAAATTTATACTCAGCAAAGAATATACAGTTACATTTATAAAACAGTAATTCAAAATCCAAACTGTCTCCAATTCTAAATATTCTGTGAGAAAAGAGTTTTTCTTTATTTTACAAAACAAAACAAAACTGCCATTCCATTGGCATAATTTTCTATAACATATTCATTCTCATCCAAAGCTATAGGTTCAAGGAATTGAAAATGGGAACCACTTTCTTAAAATGCTACACTGGCCTCCCCCAAAAAACTTACCTCAGAAAGCTATAAGGCAAGATAATCTTAGTGAATCTCAAGTTTTAAGACAAAAGGCTTAAAAAAGATATACAACCACATTTCCATGGAATTATTCAGACTGTACTAAATTCAATAAAAATGCCATGAGGCCACTGACAAAGACAGATGCCCATTTACAGAAAACAGGATTTATCAAACACCCAACTCAGGAGCAATAGTTCTCAAGGTGGGGTCCAGGGAACTCTCTTACAGGGGTACAATATAAAGGCTATTTTCACAGTGATACTCAGATGTTATTTGCCTTTTTCACTCTTTCTCTCATGAATGTAAGACGAAATTTTCCAGGCACTACATGGAACAGTGTCATCAATCCAACAACTTGTGTGTTTCTGTATGTTTTATTTTTTTGAAATTTCTAGGTTTTAATTTGAAATGGAAACTCCCAACACATATAATCGACATAAATAATAATGGGGGTCCTCAATAATTTTTAAGAGTGTAATGGGGTTCTAAGGCCAAAAAGTTTGAAAAGCATTGCTCTACAGAATTTCAGGGTCTGTGACACAGATATGTTAAGGCAATTGACAGCAATTATTATAAAAGGACTCTGTCCAAAAAAATACAAAATTCCCATGTGAAACTTCAAGATTATGAAAGTTTCAGAGCATCATATACCTGCAAATGCACCTGACATAGAACCCTGTATATAATATAGGTAGTTATATATAAAATATATATTTGTTATATATTTCTAAAGCTACATTTTCAGTTATCTCTACTTCAAAATGGTATCTGAAAACTTGAAGCAAAAGCAGAAAATATAACTTCAAATATAATCAAATACATTATTAACAATCTTGCGTACACTTAGAAATTATCACTACTTTAAATAATAAGGGAAATTAAGATTAAAAACATTGACCGCAAGGCAACAAGGATTAAATTTGGTCATCTTTTTACAAAATCAAGATCTTATGAACAAGAAATTTAAAAATATAAGTAATAACTTCAACTGATTAATTTTTTAGTTAAAATATAAGATCTAGTCTCAGTAACATATATAGAGCGAGAATGATCAAAAATTACTGTAGAGTTTGAATAACAGAATCTTAGAGAAAACATATTTAAGCTTTTAGGTAATAAGCTATAAGCTCTTCTCTATGGGTGTTTCTTCAAGAAGTGCTTTGGAATCTCACTCCTGGAATGTCTTTGGGACTATTACCTGAACATAAAAGGGCCTATTATTTACTAAAGTGTCTTCTACTGGGAAAAAAATAACAACACATATGGCCTTGAAAGCACCATAAAGGCTAGTCTACAATCTCTTAAGCAGTATGTTATGTCTACAGGTTATTAACAAACAGATAGTGTACACATTTCATGTGACAAATTTCTAAACATATGCAAATGTACCCAAACCTTAGCATACATCTAATCCACACTGCCTCTATCATTAGCTGAACAACTTTTGTGAATATCAGTCTAATAAAAATGAAGGAAGTGATGTTGCCAAAAGTAAACTTATTCATTAGATATAGAATATTAAGTGCAATAAAACAAACTGAATGCATGCCTAAATCAAGTATAAACAATCCATACCTCTGTTCCCTAAAATAGCATTCATAAAATAGAACTGCCTGTGCTATATCATTAGAAATACTACTTCCCAAACGACAATTTTTCTTTACCTAAAGATAAGAATTAGGATGGCACTGAAGGCAGGCATCAGTCTTCATAAAAAGTGGGCAAACTAGAAGTTAACCAATGTTTACAATCCAAAATATAAATTGCTGTCTCATCTCCACTGAAATATAACCCCTCACAGCCTGCTATACATTATTTTGGTAAGGAAATCACCAAATTTTTTAAAGAAACTTAATAAAATAGATCATCATTGCTATGTAAAACTTGTAAGGAGAAAAATGGGAAACAACAAATAAAGCATAAGAAGAAAAATCTTTCTACCAGTTTAACCTACTTCAATGACATGAAAAACAAAAAGCAGGTGTTTGGTTAAAGAAGTAAATTTTGGTGACTATTAACAGAAATGACAGAATTAATTATTATAGCTCTACATGTGATGTAACAGATACATCTACATGTAAGACAACAACTCAATCTTTCTTTTGAAGAAAAACATATACATAAACACACAGACAAAAAGACACAAATGTGTTTGACTGAAGAGTCTTGAATGATGCATCTCTGTGCCCAGTGGATAAACCTAACTTTCAGTAGTAGAACGTCAAGTGGAAGAACTGAGCCAATACTGTAGGTTTATGATAAAAATGTTTGTCTTATGATGGAAATGTTTGCTCTTTTTTTCCATTTCTTTGTAGAGAACTTATCCACTAAATATGTGTAAACATAGTTCCTATTTACTCCCATGAATATAAAGCAATGTTCTGGAGACTACACAGATGATGGGTGCTAAAACTGGTAAAAGAATTAACCTTTAAAAGGAATCTCTGAAAGCTTGAGAAATCATTAAGCTGTTTGTTGCCCTGCTCTGAAGTGTTCTAAAGGCCTACCTTTTTATGTAAATATGGACGTAACTAAGTTGAAAGAAAGGTGACCTTTGTTTTCATAATTCACTTACCACCATTCAGTGGCCCTATGAAAAATGAACTGAAGGAATAAAAAGGTGAATAGAAAACTACCATTTCCCAAGTCTATGGATATACAAATATTTCTCTAAATATTTCTCCTTGAGGACAGAGATTGTGAGCTCCTTGAGGACGGTGACAAATAGTAGATACTTAATAAGTTTGCTGACCAAATGAATAAATGTTAGTTAGGGCGCTCATTCACTCCCACAGCTGTCTAAAACTAGGATTTCAAGGAAGCCACTTAATATAACGTGTAGAGTGAGTTAGAGAAGAATTCCCTTTTCCCCAGACAGACAGAGATTATAAAAATTGGGTTGATCTACCTCATTACTCTTGCTCTGAGATAGTGTCAGGCTATCATTGGTCAGTTCCTCATCATCAGCACTGTTTCTGCTAAGAACTTTACTCTTCTTCTTCTTGCACCCCCCTTCACTGGCAGGGCTGCTATGATCGTCATCATTGCCTTCATCATTCTCATCCTCATCACTCCCACTTCCCTCATCTTCATCATCCTCAATGTCTCCATCACTTCCCTCTTTCTGAGATGCAGATCTCCCTTTTCTCTTCACTACAGTAGGTCGCCAGTCATTGTCATCCTCACTGTCATAGTCATCCATGTCATTCAGCTCTTCCATGGATACAAAATCCAAAAGTGGTCGATTCCGTCGAAGATTCCACTTTTTCGGCTCACTAACTTGCTCCTCTGCAGCAGCTGTGGTGGTGGGCATAGAAGGCGATGTGTTAACAGCAGGAGGACTTGTGGCTGGCGTGGTGGCAGCTGCAGAAGCGGCCACATTGTCAGACACAGTTGTTTTTTCCTTTTCCTTCTCTCTTTCCTTCTCTTTCTCTTTTTCTTTCTCCTTTTCTTTTTCCTTTTCTTTTTCTTTCTCCTTTTTCTTTCTAGGTCGTTCTCCATTCTCTTCCTCTTTCTTTTCCATTTTAACTAATTGTTTTTCTGATGACAGTATTTCTTCCTCTGCAGAATTTTTACGTTGTTCCTCCTTTACTTTAGTATCTTCATTAAGTTCTTCCTCTAAAATATTTTCTTCAGAATCACTACAGGAACCTTCTCCACTGTCCTTTGAAGGATCTTCACTTCCATTACCACTCCCTTCAGAATCTGTTGAAAATATGAGAAAAAAAAACCACACATATGTATATACATACACACACACACACACAACGCTGACACAAATGAAACCACCAAAATTTGTGAAAAACTTGCAAAACAATATAAACAAATTTAAGTCAAAGAATGGCAGACATTCCCAACCTGATCAAATAATAAATCAATGAAGTTGATACAATGGTTTTAGTTCAGTATAGCACTAATGAAAGATGAATATATGTAACTCTAAAATATGCTTTAAAAAGAGAAGCACTATTTTGTGTCATATAGCTTATGTAATATTCGGTACACAGAGGCAATTTTTTTTCTATATGTAAATGTGCTTCTTTTTAAGTTAGGCACTTGATTTTAACTTAATGATAATACAGACAAAATTCTTCTTCCCTTATATCTTCCTTTTATAAACTACATGGACTTACAAGTATTGAAAGAGTCACATTCAAAACAACATAAATCTGGCCCAAAAAACTTTGTTTCATATATTTTACAATTTTCCCAGAAAGATGAGTACAGATATGTATGATAGTCAACTTATACCACAGCCCTAAGATGCCAAACCAATTTTAGGAATACCAAGTACAAAGGTAAAAAGAGACAATAGCAATGGCACAGAAAATGGAAGTTGCAAGAGAAGTCATCAATTTTCCTGTTTATTAGGAAAATTCCCGTTCATATCAATAAAAGTCACCTAAACTTTCAAAAATTCTAAGCAGTAACTACTATAGGCCCCAGAATGGAAGAAATGGATGAAGAAAGAAGTCCAACCTGGAAATGAGCAGGACAGAAGTTAGTGAAAAGTTAGGCTGAGGACATTAAAGGGCATTGAAGAGCTCATGCAAGACTATACGCTTGCTAGCAAGTTTCTTCCACTCATGCCTAGGGCATCCCAGTCCCTCTAACCCCAAAAATATCCAGTAACCTCCTAATTATCGTCTTTGCATCCAATAGAATAAATAAAAATCTTAATGATATGAAGGGAAGGATAAACAAGAGAAGAGAAAGAGAACAAAGAGCAGGAGATAGTGGGGAAAAAACCAGGTCAAGTCTTGGCCAATAGCAACAGTAAAGCCTATAGAATAGCTATACATATTTATCTTCAGAATGATGAATTTTTTCATTACCTATAGTCAACAAAAAGGTAATGATAAAATGGTGAAAAAATTCAGTGATTCCACTTCATTTTAATTTTGAATAACTCAACTAGCCTTAACCTCTATAATTAACTGAGCTTTAAAAGTGAAGAAGGTTGTCTGTAATTGGTAGCTGGTATCTAAAGCACCTCAAAAGACTGAGTTGACAAATGACTGATAACAAAAATATCCTGCCAGTCAAATCACATAAAAAACAAACATTACATTTAACAAACATTGGCTGACCCTATGAAATTGTTATCAATCTCAAGATTATCATGTAGGTATCTATAGCTCACTCAAGACTATTCTGAAAAAAACATCTCATCCTAAATAATCTTGCACAGGACACAAGAGCAGTATCATACAGGTCAACAATTCCCTATTTGAAACTTTTGAAGCCAGATCTATTTCAGAATTGACAATTTTCAGATTTACAAAGGATAGCATTGTATATGTACCACATGTTACACTAATACCCCAGTGAGGTCTATGGTACTATTCTATAATCAAACATATTAGTTCTGCAGTGAAAAGTATGAATTTTGACCAAGTATGAGAAATACACTACCAATAAATTCCTATCAGTTCCAGTCAGGTTTTGCCACCAAGTAAGTTCGTGCCAAATTTAGGAAACACTTGGATTTTTGAGCTTCTTGGATTTCAGAAAGTGTAGACCCAATATAAGTCACAGACAGTTGACTTCTTTTCAGCCCAAGATTTCTTTCTACAAAGCATTAAGAAAATTATGATTTTATAAACTGCAATTAAACGGCAATTAAACCTAACCTACCAAGAAAAGTCATCTCTGATAAAAAAATAATAATACTTTCTAGACATTTTAAAATAATGATTTCATAAATAATTAAGAATTCTCTAAACACTTATAAGGCAGAAAAGGATATCTTTTATACACTGACTAAAGAAAACTTACAAACAATGCCATAATTAAGAGAATTAGGAGGTGGAGATTAAAAAAAAAAGGTACTTTTCTTATAGATCAATCTTCAGAAGCCTTTTTACCAAGAAAAAATTAATGATAAATATAAGAGTAAGATTAACTAGGGCAGAAGTGTGGTTACCCAATCAAAACTGAGAACAATCCAACTTTATCATTGCTTGGTAAATCTTATAAAATGTTACAGATTTTTGCAATTTTGCTTTGGATGTTGTTCCCAATGACAATTAATTAATTATTTTTTAAACTAGAGGTATAAACTGATACCCTATGATTCTGCTTTTTATAATCATGCCCAAATAGAAACCAATTTTTAAAAAGATACTTAAAGATTTTTATATTTGTTAACATATTATCAGAAGAATGTGAAATTTTTCCACAAATTCAAACCCTAGGAGCTTACCCAACCCTTCATTCTCTAAATACATTAGTTATACTCCAACAGCAGAGATCAGAAATAAATTTATTTTTGATCTCTGAAAGATAACTTAATCTGATTAGTCATCACTTCTTTTTGGTATAAATGCACTTGAGGGACAGAGATAAACAATACTTTAATTATAAGCATAGCTGGGTAATAATGACAATAAAAAAATTAAGGTCCTTGGCTGTCTATATTTTCATATGCTACAACGAAAAACTTTCTTATTACTACAAAAATCAAAGAATGGCTCTATGCCATGTTTCAAATCCATTACTCCTACAACTTAAATTAAAAAAAAAAAAGGAAAAGATGGAGAAATGAGTCAGACACCTCAAATAAAACTATCGGAGGCAGAAGGACAGAAATAATTCAAGTCAACAATAAACTTTTTTACATTAAAAAATCGTTAAAATTGAAATCAGAATAACTCCAAGTAGCAGCTATTTCAACTGACAGTTAAAGAATTTTTAGTTATAAAATTTATGAAAACTTCTTCTGAATAGAAATTGCCAGGCAAAAAATTAAATGTGAAGTTTAAAAATTTAAAGTAAAATAAACTGTAAAAAAGGAATTTAAAAAACCAACCTTCAAGAATCCCTTTGTAATATTAAATAATAAAATTAAAATTTAAACTAATATCAACCATCAATACCATTATATGCAATGCTTAAGCTTTCCCCATGCTAAATATTAAAAAATAAAATCAATATTATTTAACTTAGAGTTTTATGTTAGTTTTGCAATATAATCTTTGTTCATTAATTTCATCAACCTTACTTATCCTGTTCAATGATCTAGTACAAAAGTGATTAGTATTACAAATATACACAATAGATAAAAGATCACTCATCTACTAGTTATTCAGAGTTATCATCTTGGGGCCATCTTGTGACTAATCCTATTTATCTCTTGAAGAAAGTCAATCAGTCAACACAATTTTCTTTCTACTTCTGACTCTAGTTCCAGCTGTGTGATCTTTTTCTAGGTAAATCTAAGCCAGTGGTTCTCAAGTGGGGTCAATTTTTTCTCCCCAAGGACATCTGACAATGTCTGGAGACAATAGTTGCCACAAGGGGGTAGGGATAGAACAAGTAGAAAAGACACTACTGGGATCTGGTAGCAGACAGAGGTGCTGCCAACATCCTGCAATGAACAAGACGAAGCTCCACCACAAAGAATTATCCAGTATGAAAGCCAATAGTGCCAAGGCTGAGAAACCCTCAACTAGTATATAAGGACTCACTGTGACCTCCTTCTACTTTTCCATGGTTATCTCTATTTTTTTACTCAACCCTGATTCCCAAATATAAATGACAACTATGAGCTCAACACCTTATCTAAATCTTCTCTTTTTCAATTCATAATTCTACTCTTTTCTCAATGAAATCGTTCCAGATCGATCTAAAGTAATCCTCTCTCCTCTGAAATACTTGAACCACACAAGTGATCACTCATCCTTTGTATCACCTATTATTTTATTTAATTATTCTAATTGTTATTTTATTTACAGTCATTTAAGCGAACTATTCTAATATTATTACTATTGCTTTGTAAATTCACCATAATATCTAGCAAAGCACTAAACAAAACTAAAGATAGTCAATGAACTTATCTTGATACAATTATCCAAAGTCAGATCAAGCACAATACTACCAAAGCAAAATACTACCAAAGTCTTAGTCTGACCTTTCTAGTCAAATTCTTTCCTGGCAACAGGACTTAACTAAACTAACCATCATGGATCATACTACCAAAGCAAAATACTACCAAAGTCTTAGTCTGACCTTTCTAGTCAAATTCTTTCCTGGCAACAGGACTTAACTAAACTAACCATCATGGATCAAGATCTTAAGATAACCATTCTTCTTTGGCCAGGGCAGAGGGCTAGGAGCATTGCTAGTTTGTCTTGTTGGAAAAAAAGGAATACATAATACATGCCCACATCTTTAAAAATATTCAATTGAGAGCCGGGCTTGGTGGCTCAGCCTGTAATCCCGCGCCTTTGGGAGGCTGAGGTGAGTGGATTGCCTGAGCCTGCGGATTCGAGACCCGCCTGGGCAGTGAGACCTCATCTCTACAATTAATCAAAAAATCAGCCGGGCGTGGTAGCGCATGCCTGTAGTTCCGGCTACTTGGAAGGCTGAGGCGGAAGGATCGCCGGAGCACAGCAGGTCAAGGCTGCGGTGGCCAGGAGCGGCCACTGCACTCCAGTCTGGGCGACAGAGTGAGACTCCAACTCAAAAAAAAAAAAAAAAAATTCAATCGATATACCAGATAACTAAATGTAAGTCTCCTATCCTAGTCCCAAACCTATGGACAAGTCTCAAATATAACCAATTTAGGCCAAACCATGAAATTGCCAATATCTGAGTGTTTAAGACCTACAAAACTGGTAATTTCGTATGGTTTCACCTACCATTTATACATATGGTTCTTTTTAGTGGTTATCACCATAATTCTAATACAAATCTACTATGTTTTAGGACATACTCATTTACTTCCCTCTATCAAAAATGAGAAATTTAATTTTGCTTTTGTATTAGAAATTAAGAGAAGTAGTTTCATATGTTTCTAAAGGTAGAGGCTTATCATTAACTTTGTCAACGTCACTTGCCAATCTTACTGACAGGTCATTCTTTAGCGATATTGATTTTTTTTCTATTTTATCATCTGAGAAGAGCATGAGTTAAATTACGTTTATCTGCAAGGATGTTGATAATAAACTTCTGGTATTTTCCATATTTATTCCTAAAGCCAAATAGAAATAAAAAAGTTTTATAGTCAGAATTTCAGATTTCAAGATGAAGCCAAGAAGAAATTGATGCACAGAGCCGTTAACAAAAATTGAAGCCAACTAATCTAACCATGTTAACATTAAGTTGAGGAAGTCAGTAGTTCATTTAATAAGTAATTTCTAGAGGTTGTTTTGAAAGAAGATATGATCAGATGTTTAGCTACTGTTTCTCCACCTCCAGCCTAATCTTCTGTTCGTAAGTACAGTTGGAATTCAACAACTTCAAAATGTTTACAAATCAGTGATAGGACTAATGTCTTATTTCCTGTAAGAGTTCAACTAAATACACTATACCAGAAAGAGAAGATAACAGCTTCAAAAAAAGAAACACTGAAATCAGGAATCAACCAACACCTCAATTACAGGGAGAACTAACACACCTGAACCAAGATTGAAAATTGAACCCGTTTCCGTTGACTATTAATTATTTTAAACAAAATCATTTTCTACTAAATTCTGTTACAATAACATACTAAGAACACACAGACACCTAAGGTCTAAGGTCACAAATTTAAGCTCCCCAGAGGCCAGGAAGGTAAATTATAAGTGCAGCCGACTAGGTATTATATGACAAGAGAGGACAGTATGTATTTTTTTAGTGTTTTAGGGGGATACGTGTGTGTGTGTGTGTGTGTGTGTGTGTGTGTGTGTCAGCCTAACAAACTTCATCCTATCACTTTTTACAAATGAGAGTCCTCTTCAACTCTGACTTAACAAGGCTACGAATCTCTACTTGCTTGACAACAAAAATTATTTTGAGAAAGTAGTTTATGCTTGTATCATTAGACTGCTTCATCCCTTGAAAGAGAACTGATACCGTAAATGACTTCATCTCAATAAACAAGGGAAAAAAATTATCCAAAATAGTTGAGATTTACTGTCATAGAAGTAACTATGAAATACTTGAAGTTTTGGAATGTTTCCCATAATGATCTTCCAAGAATTCTGAACTTCCACTATTCTACTATGCTTGTCAAGATTTATACCTCAGCCAGGCTTGGTGGCTCAGCCTGTAATCCCGCGCCTTTGGGAGGCTGAGGTGAATGGATTGCCTGAGCCCGCGAGTTCGAGAC